TTAAAAAAAATTGGCTAAAAGAGTAAATGGTGAGTGGTTTTCTCACAATGAAATAAAACAGGATCTGATCTCCGGGATGTCAGCGGGGTCAAGGTTTCTTTTTCTTGCCTCACTTCCGCTCCACCAGGTCCCAAGGCCCCCCTTGAGGTTAAAGAGAGTACCAGACCCGGAGACCTCGGAAGATGCGCATCCGCCTAAACCAGCCCCTGCACCGCCAGCCTCCTAGGAAGCACGCCTTCCGCGGTCTGTGTTCTGCCAAAGGCGCTTGGGGCCGGGAACTCCCACAGGTCCGTAAAACAGCGACCCTTGGAAGTGACCTCTGCATAGTTGTCAGTGAGCCAACAGAAACATCAGCAAACGATGCTAAAGATGAAACATACAAACACGACTGCAAGCCATCACATTCTACTCATGACACCCCAACTTACCTAAGTAGGAGGCCAGGGGCTCATTCTTTTTGGAAGACTTCACATTGAAGGTGGTGTTTTGGGGGATGATGATCTGATTCCCCTTCTGCATGACGACCGTCCCGTTCCAGTCGTACGCGCCGACGGCCCCGAGCATGACCCAGTCCTGACATCCGGAAGAGAAAACGATGGTTAATAAGAGCAGACGCGCAGGTCAACAGTGCGATGGGCGCCTTCCACGGGCTTCCCACACATCAGCCCCTGTAACCCTCACAATGACCGTGCGGCCGGCCGCCGGGAGCACCTTCTCCATCCTCGGGTCAGTGACGGGCCCGGTTGGTTCTGTGGCACAACTGCACATCGAGTGTCAGCCGGCCTTTCCAGGGACCATGCTGCCTTTCCCTCCATCAACTACAAATGATGTAATTTCTAAAGCTTTGTTCTAGGTGCCAAGAACCCTAGGTCTTGAATGTGGAATTCTAGCAGAACCCTTGAGTATCTTAACACTGAGAAAAAGATCCACCCCATAGCATCAGCAAATGTGTTAAATCAAGCATTTCACACAGATGCATGACTACGTAAGGGGGACCTGGCACAACGGATTCACAGCGATTAATGCCGCGCAGTGAGCTGTGCGAGAGAACACGCTTTTCCAGGAGGAGCTAGGAATGCCAGTCTCCTGTTGATTAGAAACGTCACCAGGGTGTGGCGAACCGCTCAGCCACCAACCACATGTTGTACTTGTCGTGCTGATGCCCGGGTGTTGGTTTGGGGAGGAAACCTCAAAAAAAATTCACATTCTTGAAATAGATCCTTGAACTATCTTTTATTTTCTTGGAAAAAGAAAGCTATGAACAGGGGAGACATACCTGGGAGTAGTGCGCGCTGAAGCCGGTCTGCGACATTTCCATCTCAAAGGAGGCCGCGGCCTGGTCGGAGGTGGCTGGAGGGAGAGAGACGCCCTTAGCACCGCGGAGCTGCAGGGAGCCCCATCTCGGTCTTTCCCAACCGAACTTCAACCTTCAAGGCACTTTCAGCCCCATTTCTCCATCTGGAATCCCCAGGCGACAGAGCGCGTGTCTCCCATCCTCGCACGTGGTTTCCACCCTTGCGGGGTGTGGTGGCATCTCCACTCATGTCGTGTCCTCACGCACCAGCTGCGGACAGGCCTCATGGTGCTTTATGTCCACAGGCTAGAGCCCAGAGCCCTGCAGTGGGAAGCTCTGTCCGGGCCTCTTGTTCGGGGATTTCTGCTGAGATATCGGACCAAACTCACCGGCTGCCTAACAGGGCTGAGGAAATGGCACTCACATCCTCACCCATATGTCCGGCTGGAGATTCTCTCAGAATTCCGTTGTTTGATAAAGTGGTAGGGATTCTAGGTTTGTATTTGTTCTAATTTCCAGCTGTGAGTATCACTCACAGACCAGGAGGGGACTTTTTGACAGGGCTCTGGGCCACGTGCCATTCAATCTCTCTCACACACACACACACACACACACACACACACACACACGATCCTGTGCCCACGCTGAAGCTCTTCACTACAGCGCCGAGGTAGTCCCGAGCGCCCCACGGGAATGTGCGACCCTCAAAACACCCACCAGCCCGAAGCCACAGCCACGAGGGGACTGAGGGAATGTTGACTTACTGGCTTTCTGTGGGAGTTACTGATTTATCGGGCCTTGCGGAGACGTTAAAAATAGAGCATATTTTAAGAATGTCAGTCTGCCCTTTCATAGAGCCATGAGAATAATCACATTTGTGGAATCAAACTCATTTCCTCGTTACTTCCTGGCATAAATCTGTTAACAAGTACACCCGCAATTGCCTTTTTATAGGACTGGATTCAATGGGAAAATCGACCAAGAACTCCAAGAGATCATTTTAATCTCACACATCACCCTCTCACTTCAATGACCGAGATGCACTGTAACTTAATGGATCGCAACCTTCACTTAAGCCCCCGATACTTGGAGGTGCTTTCTCCTGTATCTGCCAGGCCAGTGACAGGAACAGAGCAAAGACCTGCCTGCTCCCAGCCCTTTCCCTGCTGCTGCTCTGCTTGGATCTGAGGACAGACGGCTGGATGGGCATCGTGGGAGCGGCCGCGGTACCTCCCCGAACTTCCCGCTGTCAGCGCCTCCCTGGCTGCCAGGTGCCCAGGTAGCCGCTCTAACCACTGCGCAGCCTCTGGTTGGGGAAGTCTGCGTTTCTCCCAAGGTCTGTTGGGAAAGGGAGACCTGAGACCACGTTCTGATGTTATTGGGCGAGTTGCTGGCACCCGCCCCCCACCAGGTGGCGCTGCCCGGGGCCGGCAGGGACTTCAGAATGGCTGTTTACTATCAGAAGGTAGATGTTTAGAGAGAATGCAGACTCCCCAAGTGAGCAAGGACATGATGCCCTTTCTGGTCTCACGATGAAAGAGAATCAGCAACAGGCTGCCCCAAACCCTCTCTGGCTGGCCTACACGGGAAGGCATTTTTGATCTGAGGAGTCCCTCGTAAAGTAATTTCTCTCTCTCTCTCTTTTTTTTTTATTCAATATATTTTATTGACTTTTTACAGAGAGGAAGGGGGAGGGATAGAAAGTTAGAAACATCAACGAGAGAGAAACATCAATCAGCTGCCTCCTGCACACTCCCCACTGGGGATGTGCCCGCAACCAAGGTACATGCCCCCGACCGGAATCAAACCTGGGACCCTTCAGTCCGCAGGCTGATGCCCTATCCACTGAGCCAAACAGGCCAGGGCATTTCTCTCTTAATATAGAGGCCTCTCGGGGTGTGTGAGCACCTTGGAGGCATGGTGTCCCCCGGTCAGAAACCACCTGAAATGTCACTTCAGGAAAGTGGACCCTCCTCCCGGTCCCTGACACAGGCTCCATTTCTGTGAGTCTTCGATGACGGTTACGGACTTAAGGTGACAAACGGGACTGCACGGTGCTCAGCTGTCTCACGTGGCTCAGCCACGTGTCTTCTAAATGGCCTTTACGGTTTGCTTCTATCACATCTTGGCGCATGTCAGTGAACAGTGAAAAGCGCACAAGGACTTGGGAAACCTCATTCGTTTCCGGGAGGAGCGCCACCGCGTGGCCTGGCCCGTGCGGAGGGGACAGCGGTGGCTGCGGCGAGCGCTGAGCCCCGAGAGGTGACTTGTCCACAGGACGGGGGGCCGCCATGTGCTGCGGAAGCCGCTGTGACTGTGGCTGAAAAGTGGTTCCAGTGTTCGATTTCCTCAAGGCACAAGGAGCGGGGTGACAGGGGACAGAGAAGTCCAGTCTCGATGGCCGGTCTGTGGAGCGCCATCGTCTCCACAGCGAACCTGCCACAGACTGGCTGTGATGCAGGCGTGAAATCAACAGGTGACTCATCACCTGCATTTATTTATTTATTTTTGGAGGTTCTAGCAGGGGAGCGCAGCTACTCGTATACCCTTGACCGAAGACCGGTCCTCTCCTCGGGGGGGAAGGTCGTCCTCTTCGACCGAGCGCGCAGCTTCGGGAGGGACGCACATGGATCGGTGAGGGAGGAGGGGGACACCCGCCTAGCCAGCCAGATCAGCTGAATCAACCCTAGCGATCAATGGGGTGACAGATGTCGCAGCCAGATCGCCCTCACATCCTATTTATTTATTTTTAATTGAAAGAGGAGAGAGTGGACGGCAGAGATGGGAACGTGCCAGAGCGCGGTGCCTAGGATAAGGGCCACTTGGTGAGATTGGCTTTATTTCAGGTGCGTAGATGTGTGTGCCCCGGTCACAAAGCAAGCTGGACTGATCGTCGGGGTCACTGTCAAGAAGCACTTGAGAGCCATGACTCCACCTCACTTTCCCGCCTTCCTATTCATCTTAACATCCCCTGTCGTCCCTCCCCTGCATTTTCCTGGTCACCCGACGCTCAAAGTGGCCCCTTTCACAGCCGGGCCCCTTCCCAGTGTATCTGACGCTCTCATCACCAGCTCCGAGCAGGACTGTGCTTTCACACGTCCACGTTCACGTTTAGGGTACAAAGACAACAGTCCTCCGTGTGTCCCCGCAGGACAGACACAGCGGGAGCCCGAGGGAGGGGCGCTGGGGTTTCTCGCCCTCGGTGAGAAGGGCTGCCCTCTGCCCTGCGATCCCCGAGAGCGAGGAGGAAAAGGGGTGCCTGCCCACCGCCCGGAGGCGTCCTTTCGTCAGGGAGACCTGGCTGCTACGTAAGCTGTTCTTCCACGTGTTCTACCTAAGGCGACGCTCAGTGTCCCCGGTCGCCGGTCGCCGTGAAAAAGCAAAGAAAGATTCTGGGAAGGAGTGACGTGACTTCGACACACGCGTGAACCGCCCTCTCGCTGCCCTGGGACCGGGGCGCCATGGAGACCTCACAGCGGGCGGGGGCAGGACAGGAGGGAGGGAATGAACATGGAAGCCACCGCCTGAGGACAGGCCCCTCGCCCCCAACAGGAAACAAAACCGAAAAACGACACCCGGCCAGCGTCGCCCGTCCCTGAACCTGGGCCACAGGAAAGAAACAGGCCGCGCGGGCACATATTTGCTCCTGAACGTCCCCACGGGCCGCCGTCCTCACGGCTCTCACGCCCGCCCACGTGTCCTCACCCAGCCAGCCCCCAGCCCCTGGGTCATGTGACACTGCCACCCCGGCAAGGTCAGACTCAAGGTCAGACTCACAGGAAGGGTCACTGTCCCACGCCGGCCACTGTACACAGTGACCCCCCACCCCAGCCACGCGGCGGGAATGACACGGACCCACCCCACGCCCACCTTCCAGGGCGAAGATCCTCTCTCCCAGCGCCTCCACGATGGTGACCAGGGCCAGCTCGTCCGACACGTTGAAGAAGTGCTTCTCGGTGGGCGCGCTGGCGATGGACTTGATCTCCTCCACGAACTTCTCCGTGCTCAGGTTCCCGCGGTTGTAGCTGCCCAGAATCTGAGGCAACGAAATGGCGGGAAGATGCCTGAAACTCTGCACGGACAGGGGCTCAGGCACCTCGCGGGGGACAGGAGAGTGTGCAGGGTCCTGGCTAACGTGGTTTCACGTGCTCGCACCTTCTCGGGAGAGTGATTACCAGAACGCGGAGGTTCCCTGACAGTAACTGTTCCACGCCGCCGTCGGGGCGGGGGATGTGAAGGGCAGTCCTGCGTGTGCGTGGACGGCTCCTGTGCTGCATTCCCGTGGACCTGTTTATTAACCGCCGTCTCTTAGAGACACGACGGCTCAAAAGTAACGCTACACTTTCTGACGGTCTCTGAGGTGATGGCCGGCCGGTGAGACCGCCCGCCGTCTGCTGGCGAAGCGAGAAGCCAGTGGGTTGCTTGACCTTGAATTCTTGGTTCTTCCTGAAAACCCTACAGGGGGCAGGCTAACCCACCTACATTTTATTCATTCATTTCTTTATTAAATAGATTTTATTGATTTTACAGAGAGGAAAGGAGAAGGATAGAGAGTTAGAAACATCGATGAGAGAGAAACATCCATCAGCTGCCTCCTGCACGCCCCCTACTGGGGATTGAGCCTGCAACCAAGGCACATGCCCTGATCAGAATCAAACCCGGGACCCTTCAGTCCGCGGGCCAATGCTCTACCCACTGAGCCAAAGCGGCCGGGGCTGCATGTACATTTTTTAAAAATATATTTTATTGATTTTTTACAGAGAGAAAGGGAGAGGGATAGAGAGTTAGAAACATCCATGAGAGAGAAACATCGATCAGCTGCCTCCTGCACGCCCTCTACTGGGGATTGAGCCTGCAATCAAGTTACATGCCCTGATCAGAATCAAACCCAGGACCCTTCAGTCCGCAGGCCCATGCTCTACCCACTGAGCCGAAGCGGCCGGGGCTGCATGTACATTTTAATCAGCGATTGGACTAGGAGCGATCTCGCTTGGAAGTCTGGGAAATAAACAATTAAGACTTCCTGTTTGAAACCAAAGGCCCAGACAGGGACATTCCTTTTCACAGAGGAGGGGGTGGGGCTGCTGTTTTCGTGAGCTATAATTATTTACATGTTCTAGAAGGTTTTCTTGAACATTTGGTTTACTTTTAAGAGAAAGGTTTATGGGGATATTGTTTATATGCAGTAAAAGCCACTCTTTTCAGGCAGACAATTGAGTTTTGACAAACCTATGCCCTGTGTCACCACCGCGCGGAGACAGGGAATGTTCCTGTTGCCCAAGGCTCCCTCTGGCTCCCTTGCAGCCCACCTCCCCCCCCAGCCCCTCAGGGACCCGGTCTGTGTTCTGCCCTGACAGCCTGCTTTTCCAGGACGTCAGAGGCAAGGCATCGGCGGCATGCGGCCGTGCATCTGGCTTCTGTCACTGTGCCTGGTGCTCTGACAGCCATGCATGCTGTGTGGGAAGCTCAGTCCCTCTCGCCGCGGATCCCTCCCACCGCGTAGGGGCACCCGATGCATTTGTGGGGGGCGTCTGGGCTGCTCCCAGTTTCGAGTGATTAAAAGTGAAGCTGCTAGAAACAGTCCTGCCGAGGTCTCTGCGTGGACATGTTTTCCTTTCTCCCGAGTGCAGACCTGAAAGTGACAGCGCTGGGTCCCACAGCAAGTCTGTGTTTAGTGTCATAAGAGACCGCTAGCCTGGCCGGCGTGGCTCAGTCCTATGAACCAGGAGGTCAGGGTTCAATTCCTGGTCGGGGCCCAGGCCCGGATTGCAGGCTCGATCCCCAGTGTGGGGTGTGCGAGAGAATCCATGATTCTCTCCCATCATTGATGTTTCCATCTCTCTCTCCCTCTCCCTTCCTCTCTGAAAACAATATAAACATATATTTTTAAAAGAAGCTGAAGCGCACAGGGTTAAGTCACTGACCGCTGTCATAGGCGGAATTTGAACACAGGTCTTTCCGACTCAAATACAGTGTCCTCCGCCCTTCCCCACCCCACCCTCCTACTCATCGCTTCGGGGAAGTGCCCGGAGTCCCCTGCTGTTCAGATTGTGATGCGGCTGGTGCGGCTTCGTGTCTCTAGGCCAGGGTCTCTGTGCCTCTGAACAAGGTGTGGGGGGGGGGGGTGGTGGGGACTGCGGTGCCCTTGGGAAGCTGTGACGTGAGTGGAGATGGGTGGGAAACTGGGGCCTGGGAAGGAAGCCAGGGACAGCGGGTCATATGATGAGTTGGGGGTGAAGGGGCGGCAGAGTCTGGAGACTCGGAGACCGGGCCACACTACCCACAGCCATGGCCTGCTGCCCTGGGCTCCCCGATTCACAGCGCGGGGAAAGGAAAGCTACCCTCCCCTTGGGGAGCCTGAGGTCAGGGAAGGCAGGTGGACGCAGATAGAAAACGCCACTGTACGCGACAGCGAGCGGGTAAGGGCCCCTTAAATGACTGTCCGTGTTTGCAAAGCCTGTGTTCTGATGTCCCTCCCCGGGGGCGGCGCCATGAGAAGGAAGCCGCTGACTGCAGGGAGCTGCAGGAGGGGTCAGAACAAGTCGCTAAAGGAGGGGTCAGTGCTCAGGCTCTGGCTGCACGTGGGAGGCAGTGCTGTGTGAACCGCGGTTCTCTGCATGGCTACAGGTGTGTCACAGGCGTGCGGGCTTTCCAGGCAGCACCCATCATCACAGCTGCCGGAGGTGCCCTCGGAACCGAGGGACTGTCTCCTGCTCCGGTCCCTTCGCCTCCTGTCCGGCTTGCATGCGTTTACGGGGGGCATTTTCGTAGCCGCTGTGGCGCCACTTGGCTCACGCAGTGGGGGTGTGAGTGGACCAGGCTCTGCACCCAGGGCACAGGCCGCGATCCTGTCCGGCTTGCATGCGTTTACAGGGGGGCATTTTCGTAGCCGCTGTGGAGCCACTTGGCTCACGCAGTGGGGTGTGAGTGGCCCGGGCTCTGCACCCAGGGCACAGGCCACCAGGCGCATCTCCACCTCCCCACCCTCCATCACGCC